CAACACTCTTGTAGAGCAAGTGTTCAATGAATAGTGAACTTGAATGCCCATTCCCACAAATGAATCTTTCTTGTGTGAATTAGATGTGATCTTCATTGTTAAAAACAAAACAAAACAAAAACAAACAAACAAAACCTTAGGATATTCCTAAATGCCCCAAGTATGAAAATTTTGTCATATTGTTACAGATGCATGGTTGCACAGACTTTTTCCTCAGTGAGGAAATCAGTTTCAGTAATTCCCAAGCGATCCCTTTCCCACTCTTCCACATCTGGTCATTTGTTTTTGCCTTTCTGCCACACCCTGCTTTTTTTTATGCTTTTAAAACCAGATCAGATCCTCAAACTGAGAGGTATTATATACCACCACTGGGGATTGAGTAGTCAGGAACAATTACAGCTGGAGCATTGCTGCCAAATGTTTTGTATCGTTAAACTGTAGTCTTAGGAAAACATTTTGAGAGCCATTGTACTCCCTAAGAAAGTATGCATAGTTAAGTGAAACTAAACTCAAAAATCATTTAGGACAGTAGAAGATCTACTTAGCAACTTCTAGGACAATGGCATGAGTTTTGTTTACATGTTTGAAGATCCAGGCAGGAAGGAACAGTCTTCTCGTTTTATATCCTTAATGCTGATTACAGCAAAAGGCAACAGTTAAACACTGACACTACCAAACATTTTTAATCAGGACAATGGAGGGTGTTGAAATGGTTCTTCATCAAATAGATACTTCAGATTAAAGCAGTGTTCTGGACCAGCTACTTTCTTGTAATTTGCAGACCACTTTCAAGAATAACATACCTAGATAAATCAGGGGACATTATGTTGTGCATTCTTTCTCTGTTCTCTTAGAAGTCCTCTTCACCTTTTAAATTGCCTTTATCTCTTCTGCTTTCTTCTCCCTCATGAAGTTCAAATGCTTTCATGCTTATATCTAGTGCATTCTTGGTATCAAACACACTATTATATGCATTGTTTCCTTCCTAAAGGGTCAATTCAGGGCTGCACTGTAATTTAATACTCGCATGAGAATTCAACTTGAGTTCAATAGTTTGTATATGTACCACATTCAGAGTCGATTGAGTTTTAACCTTCAGTTGTTTTTTCAGATCTGCATTAAGTTATTCACACCAAGTTCTTTTAAGTCCTTTGCTGACTTTTTTCCATTGTACCGAATTCTAAATAATTAAAAGAACTGTAGTTCTAGTTGAAGACTTTTTTCTTAACTAGATGAGTTAGACAACATATTTACTTTTTCACTCAGTATAAGAGACGATTTGCAATGCTTTACTTCAAGAACAATGTTCCAAAAGGACTGAGAATCTCTACCTATCCCATCCTTTTACACCTGGTAGTGGAAGGTAAGCAGCGGATTACTACTCATTTCATTATTACTTAGTTGATGAACAGAAAGCACAGAGTATATTGCACGATCATTCCTCAAAATGAAGAATATGCCTATACTGTACCCAACCTACTTCAGCTAAAAATCAACATATGGAGAGAGAAGCCAGCCTTACTTAGATAAGAAATGAAAAAAATTCCAACCAGGTTTTTTGTGACAGATAACATTTGGGATAATTCAGCTACTGACTTCTGTAATGGGGAAAAAATTAAAAACACTTGCTAGAATACTAAAAAAACAATTTGACTTTCTCAAAGTGATCATGTAACTGGGAAGTCTAATTTGAAGTCTAAAATTTATATGTAGTCAGTCAAGGAACATAAAAAGCTACCACTTCTGTGTGTTATTAAGATTTACCTGTAAAGCAACATAAAAACAGCTAATCAGCAAGCAGCTAGAAAATTAATTTCAAAATATCCAACTAAATTGCAAAATTCAGCTTTCAAACTGCAAAACCTTAATACTTAAAAACATTCAAATAACTTACAAAGCATTCTTTTCTACTTAAGAGAAAAGAATGTGAAGGTGTTGAAGTTGGTTTCTGAAAATGTGGGAAGAATTCATGTTATGAGAGACTAGGAATACAGTTAACCAAACAACTGGTGCAAACTCTACCCTTTGTACATTTCTTTCACAGAATCTTCAAATTCACAAATTCCTTTCACAGACCATTAACTAAATTTATCAGATCAAGCACCACATTTTAAAATACTTCCTAATATTTATGCAGGGATTCTTAAACTTTTACTTGCAAGAATTAATTATCCATAACAGGCCTATTGCTTAGATGCTTTCTTAATTACGTTGTTCATTTTGTAACAGTCTCAGTTCAACACCTGATTGCTATCTACTCTTTAACAGATTAATAATTTCTGAATCAGAGAAGCCCTGTGAAAGGATCACAGAAAACATCTCAGCTCTACAAACACAGAACATGAGCGGTCTCAGTTAAGGTCAATGGTGAGTCAGGGAAGGGAAGCTCTTATTTCAGCTCCTTGAACAATACCTACTCTGTAGGTAAACAGGAGTCTTCAGTTTAACAACACTAACAGATCTTAACCTTTTCAAGCATACATATTTATTTAATTGACACATTTAAATCAAAGCTATTTCCTATGAATAGCTTTTGCAAAGAAAGTACACGAAGATTTCCTTTGTTTCTTATTCGAATCACCACCATGAAAGTGAAGGCTGAGGTAATCATCTCACTCAAAGGAAATAAAACAAAGAATCCTCTATTTCATTGCTAAGAAAGCAGAGCTCAGAGGCTCCCACGAGCTGTTAACTTCAAAATATTCAACTGAACGAAATAAAATATAATCACTGTACTCACTAAGGACTGTGATGTGGTAGGCCCTTATGTGAGACATGTTCTAAGGCTAGGAAAACAATTTCTACTCACTGTGACATGGCTCACATGAAATTCAGATATAAATGAAGGCCTGGTTCTCTCCAGAGTGACAAAAAAAAAAAAAAAAATAATTGTTCCCCTCATATCATTTAGGCTGAATTTACTCAAGACTCAATGCACAGTAATAAAGAATAACCAGAACTCTTTCTTCCCTTGTCTCTAGAACCTCAGTTATCTATAAAACAGACAATAGGGTATTGAGGAAAATATAGTGGTTTTTTTCCTGATAAATTACTGTTAGCAGTCCCTTTGCTGAAAAGATAACATCTCCAGGTAGATTATACAACACAGGATATCTACATATCAGGTTACATTACAAATGAAGAGCCAGTGCTATTTTTCTTCTAGCTGTAGAATACATAGATTAAATAAAATTCTCCATTACTTCAGCACCTACAATTGAAACCAAATGTAAGAAAAAGTTCTGATAATTAAATATATTGAAAAAACTCAGTTTTACGTACTTTCAGGGTTCATCATTACACTAGTTAAACTAATGTAAGTCTACTGAGTCAAACCTGCTGTAACACTGTATGAATTAGGTTATATATGCATAAGATCTATTATTTTATTAGTACTTATCCCAGTTTTTTTCCACCCATTTCAAAGGCCATTTGACAAGGTCATTAGTTACCCAACAGGATTAGAACTGCTTAAAACCAGCACAGGTCAGAGCAAGTCTAGCTTGTACCCTAATTGGTTTCTACCTGTTAGTTTCCACCCTTAGGATGGCCTTACATTTTTTAAGGTTTACTGATAAAATACATAATTATTTATCCACAACCTACATTCCATTCTTTTCGCTTTTTCTATTTTCTCAACATAAAACTAGAGAGGAAGTATCTGCAAGGCTTTTATGTTGATAAATGCCACAAAATATGCAAAGAATGCATGTGATAAGTGAAAATTTGACATATTTCTCATACTCGCTGTTTTCATGAAAAATAGTTTGCCTTCTAAATGGAAAAGTATAATCAGGTTTTTAATAATTTGTTTTTTGAACTTTAGTCTACATACAGCTAGGATTATAAATTAGATTTTGGTAAGTAAAAACCCACACAGTGATTTTTTTTTTCTTGTCTGCCTTAAAATAATCTGAGCTTTTACTGAATATGATTATAAATAATTACACTGTAAAGAAAAGCTATCTGTAACAGACGCCATATTGGACAGGTACTTCCATTCTGTAGTCAGTGGGATTTTTGCCTTAGTAGGAATATTATGCCACATATGATTTTGTCTAAGAAAGCACAAGATTTGTAAACACTACATGTACCATCTAATTAGCCTAATAAATCATTACTATTAGAAATACATTTCAATTTTCAATGCTATGTTATTCAATGAACACCCACCAAAAGATACAGTACCTATATTCACAGTATTCATATAGTGATCGGACCTAAAATTAGTCTGTTAATTTGTATTGAGTTTGTCCATGTGAATAAACATGAAAGTAATAGTAATGTAAGTTTCAAGTTTTTGTTTGCAGAAACATGATGTGATTTATCTAGTTATGCAGAATTCAGCTACGCAGCTGAAACAATCCCTGTCACCATTTTATTAGTCTATCTGCTCTTGTAAATACGGCTGTTATTTTCAGTTACAAGTTGCAGCATCCAGTGTTATGGGATTCCTATGGTTCTTGAAACCAGTCGGAGCATTCTCTTTGACTCCTGTTCCACCTAAACCACTGCTGTGTCACGAGAATTGAGGTTTTTCTGAAAACCTGTCCTTGAAAGCATCTGGTTTGCAAAACGCGATGATCAAAATATTTACACGCATTTCGTTTTTCTTATCTGACAGACCAGTCCTCACTCTGGCACTTGGATTTACATTATGCTGTCTACGATTTTCAGCGGGGATTAATGCCATTTATGATACTGTTGACTTATATTACTGGGACACCAAGAGGGTCATCTCCTGATACAGCAGGGCTGCGGCAGCGCCCAGCGGCCTCCGCCCCACTCCCGCTCCCGCGGCCGGGCACCGCGGCGGGGCCCAGCCGCTCAGCCTCGCTGTCCGACCCGCCGCGGAGCTCGGCGGAGCTCCGACCAGCGGCTGCGAGCTCTGAGGCTGCCGGCCACGGCCGCCATCCCGCCCGTCACCCCGCCAAGCCCCCTCACAGGGCGCCACCGCCCCTCACGCCAACGGCCGCCGCGCTTCCCGCCCCGCCCCAGCGTCACTGCCGGCGCGGCCCAAGATGGAGGTCGGCGGCGGGGAGCCGCTCCCCAGGCTCAGGCGCCCTTCGCGGCGAGGGGCTGAACCCCGCGACTCGCTGCCGCCGCAGCCGCCGTCTGGGGGCGGTGGGACGGCCGGTGGGTGGTGCCGGGGTCGCTTCGCGGCGGGCGGCGTGGCAGCAGCGCCCGGGCGGGGAGCGGTGAGGGGCGGCGGGGGCCGGACGTTGCTCCGGTGGGAGCGAGGGGGCTCCTCGGGTGGGAGGAGGCTGCGTGCTTGCAGCCGGCTCGGCTTCCCTCGGGTGTCAGGTCGTAACGGCGAGCTGGATGTGAAAACGGGGACGCGAGTTGTGCGGAAGACTTGCAAGCGCGGATTTCTGGGTGGAGTGCTTAAGTGCTCCAGACCGAAGCGCTAGCAGACGAGGAGGAGCCTGGTAAATAAAAATGCCCGTGAACTCCAGCAGAGCTGTTAGTGCGCTCGGTTGGTGATAGCGCGTGGGGGGTAGCCGGCGTACATTACACTGCTGGAGGCACGCAGACCACCACTAACTTTACAAGTTACAGTTTACAAGTGCAAAGTATGAAACGTCAGAGGCACCTTTGACAGCGTTTTCTGACTGCATATGAGTGTGTTGGTTACTGTCATGAAGAAAAATATGCTTTCAAATCTTCTCGCTCTGATGCCTGCCTTTCTCTAAAACAGAATGTAGTGATGAGAGAAAAAAGAAAAGATACTTTTCTGCATAATGATAGTTTTAGTTTACCTGCTGAAGGTATGCATCATGAATCAAGCTAGCTCCTGAAACTGAAGTTGAAAATCTCTTGTGAAGTAACTGCAGTTGAGTACGCGAAAATTATGCCTGAAATTGTTTTGCAAATACTAAAATTAACAAAAAGATACAAATAAACTAGTAATTAGAAACACCGATCTGACTTTCTATATGTGAGATTAATAAAAATGCTTTAATAAAACCAGGAGGCTTTTAATTGGTTAAATGACCGTTTCATAATCTAGTCAGCTGTTAATTTCCTAAGAAGGTACACACAGTATGTGCTGATTGTTGCTGCTTTATCATTTATCAAAGGGTACCTTGCTTAGTCTATTTTATTTCAGGAAATGTGCAGAGCTTTTTAGAATACTTTCTCAGTGATACAAAGTGTATTATACTGAGTATAATAATCTCTGAAGATAAATTAATTAAAAAGATAAGGCATCATGTTTTACGTAACTATAATCACACTCCATTTAATGACTGGCTTTAGTGCTATAATTATGTTCTTATTTACAGAAGAGACTACAGCTGTAGAGAAGAAGAGGAAGCCTTTTACCAGACTGAATATTCATTCTGCATTCTGGATTTTGGCATCGATTGCTGTGACATACTACTTCGAGTTTTTTAAAACTGTTAAAGAAACTATTCAAGCAGACAGGTAAGGCACCTTTTCTTACAAAGAAAGTTGTGTTGTCATATTACAATCGTATTCGGTTTGTTACATCTGAACACTGTGTTTTAAATCTTGGATACACAAGATCTGCAATAGGAATAGAGAGAGCTGTGAAGCTTCAGCCTGGAGAAGAGAAGGCTTAGAGGGTTCTTACCAATGCAAATAAAGGGAGAGTACAAAGAAGATGGAGCCAGGCTCTTTTCAGTGGTGCTCAGTGACGGGACCAGAGGCAGTGGGCACAAACTGAAACACAAGAGGTTCTCTCTGAACATCAGGAAACACTTTTTTACTGTGAGCATGACCAACCACTGACACAGGTTGCCCAGAGAGGTCGTGGAGTCTCCATCCTTGGAGATATTGAAAAGCTGTCTGGACACAGTCCTGGGCAGCTGGCTCTATGTGACCATGCTTGAGCAGAGGAGTTGAACTAGATGACCACTTAAGTCATTATTATTAAACTAATTTTTAAGTAAAAACAATGCTTAAAATTTTACTATATTTATTTTTTTTTCTTTAGGCTCTGATGAACCATTTTGTATACCTGCAAAATTTGTTCTAATAGCAGGATGGTTTAATACTATACTTTCAAGTTGACACTTCAGTACAAGAAATCACTGCCTGTTTTGTTGAAAGTGTTAGGGTTTTGGTGTTATTTTAATCAAAGCTGAAATTAATCTTTAAACATCAAAACAAAGTTAATTTCTCTAGAAGTTTTCTAGTCTCCTTGAGTAGACCAGTGAAAGATTAGTGAAATAATTTATATTTCTATTTATTTTCTGTTAAATTATTTTCAATGAGATTGATGGATATTAAATATTTTTAGATAGCTTCACCTGGAAGTGCTTTTAAAACTCTCTTATTGTCATTATTGCATCAGTACATGGAAGCTGAACAGGGCCTCGCTCTGTGCTTTGAGGTTCTCTGGAGCTGCTTTAGATACACCCTACATTCAGCTGGCTGTGGATGCAAACTAGCAACTCCAGGATGTGATCAAGGTTTTGGGTATTCCCATCTGCTCCCTGCAGGACCCTGTTATCCTGCATTACTTGTTTATGTAGACTATGGTGACTGATCTCTTAAAGCAGATTTCATAATTGGTAGTACTGAGGTACCAAAATAGCATATGGGATTTGCTGTACCATACCAGGGCAAATCTTATCTCGGTAGTTGATTACCCTTTGTAATTTAGTAATCAAACTATGGTAATAAGAATTCAGTTTTTAGAATTTTTAGTTGCTAAATATACATTTGGGTAAGTATAAGATTTTATTAAAATACACCTTCCATGTTGTCTGTCCCATCTTACTCTTGGCATATGTCCTCAAAGAGGCTCAAAAGTGTCTTCCTGAATAATCACATACCTTATGTTTTCTTGATTCTCAATTTGAAATCCTTGATTTTTCTATGGTTTTCTTCAGCTGCTATAAAGAAAAATCTTCATGCTTCTTGTCTGTTAAATTTGAGAGTTCATAAACTTGGAACCTTATTAAGGCTTTCTGCAACATTTCTGTTGCATAAAAATGAGTAGTCTAATTTATAGTGAGAAGCACATTTGTAGTGGAGACTATTTTATTTCATTACTGACAAAGAATTCTTGGTGTGGTAGATCACTGACAAGGTCTGTTGCAGTGCATTTCCAAAATATTTGAGGGAAAAATAAATTGACAGGAATGTTGCATAGCAAATTTTAAGTCGGTTATGTATATTAGACAGCTTTAGAAGGGCAAAAAGTGTTTTGTAAAAGTAATTTAAGAAAAAATGCTATAGGAGCTCGAGGCCAATCTGTATAATTAACAGGTATTTTCTGTTTCTAGACTAGAATGAAGATTAATATGCAAACTGCAATGTGAATGTGCTTAATGTGCTTTCCCCCCCACAGCTGGTGGTTTGCCTCTGGCAGTTGTTTACTGGCTGCATGTTTATCTGTTGCCTTTTACTGCATACTGTATCTTGAGTGGTATTGTGGAATTGAGGACTATGATGCGCAGTATCCAGCACTGATACCTGTCACAACAGCTACCTTTATTGCAGCAGCCATTTGGTAAGTTCAAACACTGTAGCATAATTTCTTCCACCTTCAACCTTCATCCACAATCAAGAGTTGCAACTGTTGAAACTGTGTATTAAGTGTACTTGTAGATGTGCTGGATCTTTTCCGTCTTGAAAATTTATGGGAAAACTGAAGTCCTTAGCTTTGTTAGTCTAAATTGCTCACCTCTGACAAATACTTGTGAGGTTTACAGATTAAGACAAAGATGTATCTTCTAGCTGAGAAAAAATGATGCCTGATCAGTTTCTAATACAGAATTCTTAGATAACAAACAATCTATAAATAGCAAATGTAGAAATTTATAACTAACTATTCTTATATTGTTATATGAGTTTTGTCAGAGTGGTACCTATATTAAGAACTACTATATTTCTGATATTATAGCAGTCAGAATTGATCAAATGTGCATGTGAATGAGGAAATTATATATGTGTGTGCCAGTATATTTATTTGCTCGCTGCATGAAAGCTGGTTCTCTCTTTAAGTTTAGATGTTGTATCTGAATATTGTCAGCCAGTATTTGCTGCAATGCTGGGAAAAAAAAGGAAGACTGAAGAAGATAAAGGTTACCTATAGTTTGGAATTAGTCAAATCTATAATCCTTGTAATTCAGTTGTAAAATAAATTGGTTTTCCCTCTTCAGTTAAATCTGCTTATCTGGATGTACAAATTAAGGCTTTTCTCAGTTGCTGTGTATGCCTGTGGAAAAATCAAGAATAGTTAATTTTCAGGTGCTTCATATACAGAGATTCTGAAAGTAAAAGGTATCTTCGCCCTTGATGGGACTGACTGGACTTGCTCACTGTAAAATCTGAAGCAGCTACAGGAGTTCTAGAATGAGTTGTCAGTAAATAAAGTCAGCTGAACTACCAATTTAGTAAGTAGGTGCTGGGGTCTTTTCGTTTTGTTTTCTCTCAGGTCGTAAAGAAACAATTATTTTTTCCAGGTTGAGTAATTTAAATCTCATTTATTCCTGTGCCATATTTTATTTGTGTGGCTGGTATTTCCATAGTATGACACTTGAACTTAAAAAAACTTCCTGCTTTTATTCTCAGTTTCAACATTGCCTTGTGGCCTGTCTGGTCGTTTATGACACCTTTGGTGCTCTTCATTCAGTTCATGGGTGTTGTGATGCTTGTGTCCCTCCTGGGATAAATCCTTCAGGTAAGTAATTGAATTGTTTAAGCACATAAAAATATTGATCCTTTGCTTTGTTAGACCTTTAAGAATTGTAAGACCATTTAAGGATTCCTTCTCTGTGTTTTGTGTACACTTCTAGAACACTGATATTTTGTAGCATATAGAGTAACTGGAGAACACTCAAGTATCCTAAGGGGAAGAATATCCTTTTTCTCTAAGATTCCGTTCCAGACAGTGAAAAAAGGCAATTAGTGAGAATGGATGTTTTTGGGGACTACAGGCCAAATACCTGCAGCTTTTACCCAGATTGGGAAAACTTCCTAGTGAAGTTGCTTCAACTGATAGTAAAGGAGAGAAGCTTTTAACATCCATATGCAGCTGTCTTCTCTATGTTTTTTTTTTGTTTTTTTTTGTTTTTTTTAATACAAATTCTTTGTCTTATCTTTGTCTTTAAGTATGTTGTTTTCATTTTCTGTGATGAACAGTCCAGATCAACCTGCTGTGTGGAAAACTGCCAGGTACGAGAGGTAATTTGTTCTTCCTGAAAAACAACCTTTCAAAGGCAAAACCAGATATTTTTTTTGACTTGAAAAATTAATTCTCAATAACTGCCATGTTGAAAAGGGGTTTTTGGGTATACTATTCAAATGAATCCCGTGAAACTGAAAAAGCTTAAGGAAGACATTAAAGACCCCTCAGGAAATAGGATAGGGGATGTCCCCTGTATCGTAGATGTCTACATCATCCAGTGAAGTGACTCTTTCAGCAGGTCTTTGCTGTACTTCTCAAGGGAATGTGGGGAAACCTGTTTGGTTTTGCTTGCCATCACAAATCCTTTCTAGTAAGGAAGTCCCTCAGCATTTTTAGGAGTGCAACAAGAAGAATGAGATAGTGCTGGATTTTGAGTGTAGCTTCTTGTACTGCCAGAGTTGTAGGCAAAAATTATTTAATGGCTGGGACAGTGAAACACAGCTTTTGTTTGCATAAACAAACTGAAACTAGTGTTGCATTTTTCCCCCTATTTTCTAGATATCAAGAAACATGATTTTAAGTGGGTAATTAACTTGGGTCATACTCTGACAACACCTATAGACTTATGAAAAATACAGTACTTACTTCAGAACCTCTCTACTGTATTATGGGAGTTTCAGTCACACTTGCTAACTTGGAAACTTTTTCAAATCATGTTTGTTTGTTCTGTCGTTAGCTAGGTTCTGTCTGAGCATTGGAAGATCTGGGGAAAGGATGCATTTCATTGTGTTAAAGCTGATCGTATTATCAGACTAGAGCAACTGTTCTGCATTAATTTGTACTTGGAAAGTAAAAAGTACAAGTGAATTACAGATATCCTGAACAGCTGAACCTTGTGAAAACATTCTGGTTTTCGATATGAACAGCTAGGTAAATTCTGTTACACAGAATTTATTAATCCTGTATTAAGCTAAATTATTATTGGCCTAATAATTAGGGCCAAATTATTACTTGGTGATGCAAAATCATTAACTGATACTGAATTACTACAAATGTCCTGGGTTTGACCTTCTGCAGTCTATACCAGCTAAGAGCATTTTTGTTAAGGTTGAATTTGTTTTTCCTTTTTTTCAGCTTTGTGTGAAGGACTCAAGTAACTGTTATCCTGCAAAGTGGATGTCACTTCTGTTACATTCCAGTACTTCTATTATTTTTAGTACTGCTTGTTTGCTCTAACTGATACTGGAATTCTTAGACTACCCAATTTATAAATCAAATGGACATAACCATAGGTCAGCCAGTGGCTGTGAAAAAGCAACTGATTAGTGAATAATTGAAAGATACATAGATTTTACCTCTCGTTAACATTTCATCACTGCTTTGTAAAGCTTTTATTCATATTTCTATATTAAGCAGATGGGTAATAAGTCAGTTACATAGTCTTAAATCCTATCTGGTGTCTCCAGTAGTCACCTAGTTCAACTTCCTGCTCAAAGCAGGTTGTTTGGTTTGAAAGTAATTGATACTTAGTTCAAGTGTTGTGGGGTCTCAGTACTATATTATTTCCATTTGAATCAACAGTTAAAATATTGTTATCTGGAATTTGTGTTTGTACTTGTAAACTTACTCATAGATGACACAGGAGACATTTCTTGATCTATTAAATTTCTAATGTTATATGTGTTATCATGGAGGAAATACTTCATTACCTAATCTCTTGAATTCAGAACTGCTAGTGTTTGAAAAAAGATAAGGAGCAGGGTAAGGGCCTAGAAAGCTGGTTGATGTTTATGTCATTGTTAATTTGGCAGTGGCATCAGTGAAATAGATTCTACTTGTGCTGATACAGTTTGTCCACAGCCAAAGACAGGTGATCAAGATGTGACTAATCAGCAATATAATGAACAATATTAACACTACACAAGAAAATAAGAGCACAAAGTATATTCTTTTGATGTATGCACTATTTTTCAGTATTCAGGATGTTTTTCTTCCGTAAATTAACTTTTAATTCTTAGCAGTGCCTGTCAATGAAGCTGCCATTTTTCTTCCTCAGCAATAAAGAGGCTTGTATTAACTTAAATGCTATTAGTCATATACAGTTGGGAAAATAAAATAACATTGTCTGTCTCCATCACCTTAGCTAAGCTACTTAAGTATCTGGAAATCTGGAGACCGTCTAGTTGCTAGACCATTTTACATAGATCTGTGTGTTAAGACCTCGGACACCCACACCTTTTGGAAGATAGGAGAATGTAGAAGCTGGGTATTGAAACTTGTTAAAATTTACTCATTATGACTGTTGCTTGAAGTCTGAACTGTTAGAGGAGACAGTGTTCTTCATTCTGACTTTCAAATTCACACCATTGCAGAATATACAATACATTAAATGTTTAGTAATGAAAAAGATACACACTGTCTTAAGCTGCTACTGTTTAATTAAGGAAAAAGTTGTTGGTGTGCAATACAAAGGATTAGCCAAACCAAAACAAAATATATTTAGTGCTACTGTTGAGTAGCTTGTAGAGTAAGCTAACAGCTTGATTTGTTTAAATATAATTTTTAAGTTTTCCAAAACCAGTTGTACTTCACATCTTTAAATGGAAAGTTGTCTGCCTTCAGGTCTTCACCTTTTAACAAATTTTAAAAATTTTACGTCTGCATACAGAGGTACATTTGAGTAACTTTGTTTATTATGATATTTAAAATGCAGTGTTGCTCAGGGATGGTCATTACCACTGTATTTTTATTTGTCAACTATATAAATGTTCCAGGTGTTTTAAGTTGCCTTGTAATCTTGAATTAAAATTACTATTTGCTACATGGTTTTTCAGATTTATTCTTTTGGATAACTTAATAAACTTTTATACAAAGTGATCAATCATTGTTCAGTACTTAATTGTGTAACTAATTCCACTGTTCTTGGGGACTGCCAGCCCATCATTTTGCTTATAAAATAGATGCTGATGTAGATTTTTTAATCCTGTATTGACTTGGAATGTGTTTGTCTTTCATGACCCTCTCAGCTGGGTTTATGGAAGGTGTGGTACCGTGCACTATTGGAGAGCTATTTGCCCTGACTACTTTGATGTCTTTTTCTGAAAATCCCAGGTAGATACTCTTACTGTACAAAAGTCCTGCAAAGTCTTTCGGTAACAGCTGCCAGTATCCAATGCAACACTCATTCATTTACATGCTCAAAGGGAAGTAGTGGTGAATCTGGTAAGAATTTAAAACAATGTTTGCTGTAATTAGCAACCTGACAAAATGCTGCTGCCACTTCCAGTTCTCTGAACTCCTTGCTTTTGTTATTTTCCTTACCACCAAATAAAGAACTTGGGGCAAAAAAGTAAAAAGAGGTATCTTAGTAGTATCCTGAAAACAATTATTAGGTGGTCAAAATCCTCACCTCTACCAAAGCTTGAATGTATTAGCTGGCTACAGCCCACCATAGGTATTTTCTGTATCCACTTATATTAATTTGTGGATGAGAATGTGTACCAGCACCAAAGAACTTTTCGTCACAGGTGACAAGGGATGCTCTAGAATAATGAAATAAAATAACCCATACAGTGAAGATTATTTATCACATTTACCCATGGAAGCTCTGTAAAATGAAAGCATCTTCCTCAGTTATTCTTTAAAGGTTACATTAACATAAAAGTAGGACTTGGTGTTTCCATAATCATCTGATAATGATGGATGTAGCTCTGAGCTAGAGGTGGTTGAAGCCTTAACTGTTTGACTAGTTACGCTTTTTATTTATACTGCTGCTATGGGGCACACAGAAACACAGGTTTAGCTTTCAGTTAAGTGCATTTTTTCAGAAGGAGAATTTGTAGGTGGCTTGAGACATCCATTTCTTGAGAACAGGCCAAAATGAAGAAAGAGCTACTACTTCCTTATGCTTACTTAAATAGGTGGTTGTCCAGAATTCAATCATTCTACTTTTCTGCCGTTTTGTTTTCTTTCCCTGTTCGTTAAGAGGAGTGCAAACCTCAGAAATTTACACATAAGTTCAGAGATGTCTTTTGTTATTTAAGAAAAAACCTTCTTTAATGAAATTTCTGTCTTCAGAAGAAAAATATCTTAAAACTTCTCTAAGTTTTGCCAGTGGATGTGAAGTAGATACTGTCTTTTAATTTATTCCATTTGTTTTATGTAGCTGAATTAGTGGCTTAATTTCATGCGAGACATAGGTCACTCACTGTAAACAACAATACTTTGGATATTCGATATGCTACCAACAGATACAGGGTAAAAATGTAAGACCTGCCTGGCCAGAACAAGGACCAGCCTATTTTGGTATTTGGCCTTCAAGCTGTGGTTAGGTACCTGAATTCCTAGAATTAAGAGAATTCGTATTGTATGCAAGCAAAATGCCATTTAAAATATTTAGTGTTTTCCGCTCGGCTAAATGCCCCTCGGCCCTTGTAGAACTGGTGCTCCAAATTTTGAGGCTTGCATACCTTAATACCTTATGGCCATAGGTCACAGTTACAACTAAGCAGCTTAAATACAAAAAAGGTCTGTACTTTTTAGTGTGTAAAAACTGGGAAAAATGAATAAATAAGAAGGAGACTAAATCCTGCAGAAGTCTCTGCTCCTTTGAGCTCCGTAGTTACTACTCCAGCTAGCGATCACTATAATACTTTGTATTATGGGAAGAATGGGGCTTACTACAAAAATAAAGTAAATGTCAGCCTTTGGGAGGTCTGGACAACTCCTGACAACCGCGGTCATTTCCCAGGCCCGGGAGCGGCCCTTGCCCCTCAGCAGCGGGGCTGGGGGCAGCGCGCGGAGCTGGGGGGTGGGGGTGCCGCTGGTGCCGCTGCCCCCGCTCCCGCCGAGCCCCTGAGGGCGGCCCGGCCCCCGGCAGCAGCTCCGCGGGGTTCTGCTCGCAGCTCGCTGCCTTCCCCGGCCCACCGCCCCCCCCCCAGCTCGGGAACACGTTACGCCGCGCACCTCTCCGCCGACCCCGATGTAAGCTCCGTGTCCCCCAGCCCGGCCAGCCGCGCACGGCTTCCCCCGCCCCTCCGCGAGGGACACGATCACCCCCTGACTATTCTTCCGCTGAATAATTCCTCCCTTTCCCTGATCTGGGCCCTGGCCGTTGGCTTAGTCTACGGCAAGACCCCGCAAAACCCCGGCAGCTCCGCCCCCGGCCGCCGATGGGGGCCGGGCCAGCCGGCGGCTTCGGGGCTCCCCGGGGGAAGCGGGGCCGCCTGCGCGCAGCACCCGGCCGGCGGCGCGGGAGATGGAGAAAGCCGCCGGTTCCCCCTCCGTGGGCGGCAGCTACCCGCAGAAAAACGCCGAGATCCTCAGCAGCCAGTACGGTATCAACCTCTTCCTGGCCGGGCTGCTGCTCACCTTCGCCTGGGCTGTGCATGCCGTGGGCATCAGCAAGAGCCACTTGCTCTCCTACCTCATCACGCTGATGCTCATCCAGCTGCTGTGGATGCTGTGGTACCTCTGCAGGAGCTGCACGCAGAGGAGGCTGATCCGGGACAAGGACACGCACGCCGGAGCCCGCTGGCTGAAGTGTGAGTACTGGCTGGTGGCACCCAGGGGGGCACCAAGCACGGGACACCTGTGCCATCACCCGTTTCTGCTGCCACTTCGATACCCTCTGCATCCCTACCAGGAGCCATCCTGGTATTCATGAACTCAACACACATGCAGTGCCCTCTAAAGTAAATATATGCATAAGATGAATGTACTAGGAGATTGCAGGGGAAAACTGTAGCTGTTTGCTAAACATCCTCACTTTCCAACCTACAATTTACAGTGCTGAAAGCTGTGGCGCCTTTTTCCCCTTAGCAGGCTGGTTTGGCAACACTTGAAAAATAAACTATGGCTAATGGAAGAGGCAATTTTGTTGCTGTCATAAAACTCTTTTGGAGGAATTACCACCTTTTCCAGACAATATGATGCAACTTACTTTATGCTTCTGCCAGAGAGAAAGGCCCTCAAGTGCTCTCTATACCAACGTATATCAGAGATCCAAATTTACATGTGTACAGTGATGCCTTAGAAACATCTGGTGTTAGGCAGAAGAGGAAAAAATACATAGCCAGATAAATTTGTAGATTAGTATATAAAACATCTGGTGTTAGACAGAAGAGGATAAAATACCCAGCCAGATAAATCTGTAGATTAGTACATAAAACATCTAAGCAAGTAACCTAAAGCTAGCCTTAGCTTGTAAGAAAAGTATGCAAGTTTGCCCAAGTAGTGGTGTGATGTGATGGCCCATATTTGCAGAGTCAGGTGCGTACTGGAGCAAGGATATAAAGGTGTATTGAGAGAAGGTGGTTGGGGAGCAACATCACAGAGTCACAGCGACCGGAATGCTGGGTTTCTGGGTCCCAAGAAAAAGAAACAACCCACATCATCACTGTGTAAGAGTAATAGGCAAGACAGTTTTACCGACGTCTTTTCCAGTCTTGGCACTGTAAATGGTAGGTTGGAAAGTGATCACATTAAGTGGGGTGCTGTAAGACAGCTTTTCCATAAAATATTTCTGTCCTGCTAGCAATGAGAACACAGTTAATTATAACATCAGCAGCTAATGAAATATCTAAATGAAGATACCAAGAACATATAAAACCTGGTAATTTTGAAAAGTAAGGTTGTGTTGTGGAAGTTTAGTTTGTTTTCAGCCTCAGTGCTTGTGTGTCTTTTATTTTTCTTTGCAACTGTTAGCAATTACACTGTATTAATTTCTCAGGGAAAATCTTTTTTTTTTTTTTATGCCTCACATTTTACAGCTATGGTCTGTAGATTGTTTCTTGAAACGTCTGGAGTTCATGTACCAACTGTTCAATTGTTCTTGATTATTCACTGTTTTCCAAAACAATATTCAGCTCTGAAGCATTTTTTGTTTATTAGCTTATGAGGCTTACAATCGCATGAAATTCATTAATGCAAGGCTTAATTTGATCCTATTTTGGGCCAAGCTATGCTTTTGTTACTCAGAGGGTAGCTTTCTTCTCCTAAGTATGGAATAAATACTGTTTAACATGGGCAAGTACAGCAGGACCCCCTGCCCTTTTTCTTTTGGCACAGCATTCACAGCATTTCATTTGTCCTAGAGGATATAAGGAGTTACAGAAACTCAGAAATAAGATACTGGAATGAACTACTAGGTTACCTTATCCATTTCTTTTACCAGCACAGGATGGCTTTTTGTACTAACTTCTCAAGTGGTGCAGCTTCCACGGCTTCTCTTGGATGTCTAGGCTGCAATTCAACAAATCCACCCTTAGGGAAAGTCCTACACTCTCCTATTCTTAGGAGTTTTCTTGTAGTTACAACAAGCCTATACAAATCCTTTATCCTAGTTTGGTAAAAGAAAATTTGAGCTAAGCTTATTAGAGCTAAGGAAAAACTCAGGTGTCAATTCCTCTGCCAAGGTCCCCCTTGCCCTCCTCTTCAGCAATGGTTTTGTCATAGAAATCTTTTATCTGAAAGACTGTAAGTCCAAAAAGGAGGGTGGGGTTGGGGACAGAGGACAAATTTTCGTCAAGTTTATACAGAGAAAGCTCTTTTCAATTTTTGACTAGCACTATCAGCTGCTTTTGAAGAGTATCTCTGCTGTCATTGTGAGAGCAAATGTTATTGTATTAAGTAGTATAAAATGAATGTATTTTCATGATTCCCTTCAAACTGTGAATATTATTTTACTAAAAGTGGTGGTAGCTGGATACTTTGAGTGTTTTGCTATGGCAAATGTTGAAAAAGAATGACTTAACAAAAACCTCCTAAAACTGCATCCTTGCACACCATTAACGCCAGAAGGACAAATAGTTTACAAGAATT